TGCGTAGGCAAGAGGCGGGAGGGTCTCTCTCAAGGTTTTCCAGCCCTTTTGCTGGCCACGTGCTCCCATATTTGCTGTGAGAGCTCAGGGCAGCGGTCGTATGGGTGCCTATAATGTCCTGCCAGTGTGGGCTTGAGGAGGACATGAGCTGAGGTCAATGGCTTTTATTTACAACCAGCTTTCAATTGCATACTTTGATTAATTAGTTTCCAGGATAGAAGGGGAAGGCAGGAGCCAGTCTGGGAGGGTGCAGTGGGTTTGGGTTGGAGGAATACTGGGGTTTGGGTTGCAGGAACAGCCTCAGGGTCTCAGCAAAACCAGCTCCATCAGCAGCCGGTACCTCCGCGCGCTGCAGCCCAGGAGTTTGGGAGTTTCCCCTTTTCAGCAGAATTCAGCAGCTTTGGTAGGTCTGTATCAGTCTCAGCTGATTGCGCTTGTTGTTATTTACAGCTCTGCCAAGTCATGGGTTAAGTATGTGTGGCAATAAGAAGGACTAGAGAAGATAGCAAAGCAGGACATTGAAAGTGAGGTCATCCTTAAAAACTGCACCCTTTAATGCCGCAGAATGGAAGCGGGAGGCTTTAGTGGATGATTTATCCATTAGCTACAACTCCGGCTGAAGGCTGCCAAAAGGAGTTGTCTTCCTGCCAATTAACTCCCCTCTGGATACAGCTGCCCCCGTCCAGAAAAGCCCCAGTGTTGCAGATACACAGGACACCCCCGGGATGTGCGCACACACGCACGCTGATGGCAGCACGAGGACACGGCCGGCGGCTCGGGAAGCGGCAGGGATGGAGGCTGCCCCGGGGCCCGCGTGCCGTAACCAGCCCCACGTCTCTCCCGGGTATGTTTTTCCGTGTGGTTTTGCCACCTGCCTCCCTGCAAACACGGAGCTGGGACATTCCCAATGCTGCTCCGCAGGGAAAGCTTGACGCCACACAGAAATGCATTGGGATTACGGGACAGATTTTGCTATCTTCTGCCTTCTGCAGGAAACTCAGCAAACAGGTCCCAACGAGGCCTGTGTTTTCTTAACCCTGCTGTTTATGTCTTGTGGTTTGAGCCTAATGAAAGTGCCCTGGTGCGAGAAGGGGCTTTTTCATCTCGTGTGCCCAGGCCGTGCACAGGGCGCAGTGGCGCTGGTGGGACAGATGTTGAGCAGGTCTCAGCACAGCCTTCTGTCCGTGTGCCAAGCCGGGTGGTTTCCATCTACATTTGAACATGAGGATCATTTTTCATAAGGGAAAAAATGGCCTGTCTAGCACGGGATGTTCCTGATTATGCTGTTTCCACACAAAAGGTCAAAAATTATTTTGGGGCCAATTTAGATCCATTAGAAAGCACTGCTGCGAAGTGAATGGCATCGCAGATGGAAACGGCATCGCAGCTGGAAACGGCTGGAGCCCACGCGTGCGGCTGCCGCGCG